TACAAAATGGTGTGATGCTAAAATTGGCACCATTTTTCAAAGCTTTCATTATAAGATTTCTGTTCATTACATCTTAGTTTTTAACCACAGCTTACACTCCTATGGATCCTTGAAAGAATTACCTCCAATCTTTTCAGTTTGGCTATTTTAGAAGGAAGCATCTTTACCAGCAACTGTCAGTAACATCTCCAGTGTCTTGAGCTCTGTGTGGTAACGTTAGCATGTTCAGCAATATTTAGAGATCAGAGTTAGCTGTGATACTCTGAATTTTGGTCAGTTTTAATAAAAATTGAAAAAGATTTTGCAGAGTCTAAAGATTGTTTTAATCCATTTTAKTCTGATCAGAATGTTTTAAAAGCTTGAATTAGGATGGAGAGAGAGGGTTGTGATATGAATTGGAATTTTTAGTTCTACAAAATGCTTTGAAAATTTCATTCTCRATATATGTAAATACAAAGTTAAGAGAATGTCTAAGGTTAGATAGAATATGTGTATTCAATGCCATACAGAGATACTGAACTCACTAGTGTCACTGATGAATAATTTAGAAGCTTGAATACTGGCCAGCAGAATTGTATATATTTTTTCAGCAAACCTTAGTTCCCTGTGATAATTGTTCAAAGAAATTTTATTTCTGTTTATTAAATTAAATAATCTATTACAATTTTGTTAAATTAAATAATTTATTAGAATTAATTATTCCAATAAAAATAAATAATAAAATTAATTAATTAAAATTTAATTCAATAATGAGAGATTCACTGATGCTTTGGGAGGCCTCTCCTTAAAAATATAAAATGTGCCAGAAAAGTGACTTCTTGTCATTATGCATTGGTACAATGATCCAATTTAATATAACAAAAGTACAGGCAGTTAATGAGGTATGTCCTTGGTTTACCCCATTTGTCATCATAAAGTACTGTACTCTAATTAAAGGTGAACTTTCCATAAGAAGACCCCATTTGTCTCCTGTAATTTTCTAGAGTATGTGGGCTAAAATGTTCTGTGTCCAGTAGTTGCCCGAGAATTYTTTTTTTTGGAACTCCAGCTAGATTCTCCAACTGTTTCTGAGAGACAGATTGATTTGCAGCCATCTTATCGGGAAACATTCAGTGTCTATGCTCTAAATGAAAAGCTCGAAATTTGGTTGCAAGCTTTCTTGTATGTAAGGCACATTCCCTTTTCCGGGTGTATGGAGTGAGGAAAATGGAAGTGCAGTTTCAGGGCACAGGTCAGCAGGGACATTTTGTGTCTCAGACATGCTTCAGCTAAGGGCTGGAGGTACAAATGAGTGGAAGAGAAAGCGCTTAGAGTAAGACAAAGATATCTTTCTGAAGCTAGAACTGATGAAGTCAGTCAAGGAGGAAGTTGCAGCTATGAAAACTCTGTTATGAGTGTCATAGGTAGCAAGGAATCTCATAGATGTCCAAGATGCACATTCAGGAGTATCAACATTAGCAGGACCTGTGCAGTTAGGCATTGTGTTAAGTCTTGATATATGATCATGCTTATGTGGGATCTCTATCCCATAAGTTGATCAAAATTGTGAAAAGTGGAGTATAATTATGCAAGAACAGAACTCTTATAGAGAATGAGGTCACATCTTAAGTGGGTAGGTGTTACAGGATTATATCAGTGGACATTCAAACACTTGAGTTCTGTCCTGCATGTCAGAGTTTTGTATGGTTCTGAATGGTGTTATGAAATGTTGAGAATGCTGCAAAGTTAATTGTTCAAACTACTGATTAACACCAAACTATTATTCCTAATCTATGCTGAATGTACTTTGTATGCTATATAGTGTTAATGAGTTCAACTTCTAAGAGCAAACCCACAGCTTTTATTATTCAAGAATAATTGAATAATATTCCAATAACTAGAAGTGAAACCCCTTTTTTAGCAGCAGGATCGCATTATCTTATTTCACAAATAAATCATTTATTTCACTATTATAACTATGGTCAGTCTTGAGACATTAGATGCAAATGCATAGATGCAAAAGCATATAAGTTGTCTCAGTGAAGACTGCTATAATGAAACTTAGACCTAACCAGCATTGTATTTCTCTTCTTGCTAGGCCTATTTTGTGTAAGTATTCCTGTTTAATTGGTTGGAAATTTATGCATATTTAGGTACACAGATTCAAGTAAATTGCAAGAAACTGTCTGAAACGCCTAAACACCTCTGCAAAGCAATGCAGATCTGAATTAAAAAGTTCCTTGCATTCAAGAATTCAAGAAGAGCTGGTACATGGTGGCTAAAGTGCTCTTTAGTAACTACGTATGGCTAAGGTGCTGTCTAGTACATACTTGCTTGAGTTAGTAAAAACCCTGGTGAAACTTGCTACAAGAAGTTATTTAATGTCCACAGTAAGTGGTTGTAGTTGCATTAATACTATGCATACATCAAGGCTCATTAAAATGTCATCTGTGCATGTAGTTCTCAGATGTGAGGTGTGACCTGGTGCAATTCACTGCATTAACATGAGTAGTACAAGCATGGAGATAACATCGTATACAAAGAGAGCCAAAAATAACATTATCTTTGTGTTTCCTGAAGAAAGTCTTTGTTGATGTGTAAGACTGGCAAAGTCAGAGGCAGCCGTCGTTGGCAGAGTAGCTGCTGATTCATGATACCCTTAGACCTGTGACACTTTGAAAGTGCTGTAGGTTAGAAATGGTGCACTGATTGTTTGGATTCTATCAGAGGAATGTTGCTTTTTGAAATAATAATCATATTAATGTATTATTTTGTTCAATAGAACATTTCACTTAAGTAAAGCAAAGCAAAGGTTGCAATCTGTTCATCAAGCAACTGTTTTTTTACATGGTGTTATGTCAGACTGGAACTTGACAAGGGCCTACTGATATTCAGCTATGTCTGAAGAAAATACAGGTAGCAGAATGTGGCCCATAAATTAAATTATAAGTATTTTCAAATGGAAGTCTTTATACTTCTTGGCAAAAATAATCCAAAACCTTTCATATAAAATATGTTGGTAATTAGGAATGCAATCAATGTAAATATTTGATTCATTATGTTCTTGCAACAAGTGTGTTCATAAATTTAACAGCACAGCATTACAATAGCAGAAAGTAGTAGAGAAAGAACTTTTAAATAGTTTGACTCTCATCAGTATTAAACCAGGCTGCTTGAATAAGTTCTTACCAGCATTTATTACACTGCAGGGCCTTTTTTCAAAGAGAAGCTGCATTTGAATAATGCTGGTGAAAGTGTGCATGTGTAGAGACAAGTGGAGAAAAAGGGCAAGTCTCTTTTCATTCTCCTAAACACCCACCTACCCTCCTCCTCCTCCTTTCCCTCCTACCTCCTGTGGGGATTTAGTAGCTGAAGAATAAATACTGACTGTATCCATTCTTAGTCATCACTAGCAGAAGTAGGAATGACAGATCAAGGTCCTCTTGCCACTTTACGGCAGCTCCATCCTTAAATCAGGGACCCAGCATCAGCAGATGTTAACCTCGGTAGCTTGACCTGTCTCACAGGACAGAAACTCTCATCTAAGGTCTGCTGCAGTTTTAACACTAATTTCTGGACAAGGAGCTGGGCTATTTTCTAACCTCCGATTTTGCTAGCCAATGGGTGCTACTCCAATCTTTTTCCTCTTGACTTTTCCCCCAACACAGGCCAAAACAAAATAACAGAAAATATATACAATAAATAGGTTTTACTGATGTTCTGCTTTTCTAGCCTACATTGTATGTAGGTTATTATTGTTATCACCATTGCCATGGCTATTACTAGGAATACCAGTGTTTTATATCTTACCATCAGTGTTCTTGCTTTTGTCACCTTCCAGCTAGTCTACAACAGTTACAGCTAAATGTGGAGGCTGTGGTACAGAGAAGGCTTTCAGATACTGCAGAATAGTTTGCATGTCTTCAGCCTCACAGGCATGTGTGGGGCATAAGATTTGTTTCCATGCAGTGCCTTTCGTGGGTGGTCTCTGTCTTTACCATTAAAGCCCTTATGCTCTAACCCTGCAAGTCTGGCTAATCATCTGCTGGCCTTGGTTGAAGGGGATGAATGATAATGTCCAGCTGAACCCTTTTGTAGCTTGATGCTCATTCTTACTCTTCTACCCTTTGGATAAAGTTGGCTGTGACATAATGCGATATGGGAGTGGAAATTAAACAGAGTGAACAAGTATGTTGCCTGCAATCTATTATTGTTGCCCACAGACTAGAGAAGACAGGGACCAGTGCTTTACCATAAATGCTGCTGTCACCTTTATAGAAGCTGATCTGGCACCAGAATAAACTCATCTAGGTACTAAATGTTCACATGAATTTGATCATCTGCTATTTTGTGTGCACATTTGTGTTATGTAATTAAAAATATCGAATACTGTCTATATTTAAAAGTAAAATCCTACAGGACTAAAACTTTAGTCAAAATAACAATGAAAAGAAAACCTCATGCAAAATAAGACAGACTGGCTGGCATACATGGAAGAGACCATGTGACAAGTTTATTCTCACTGATGTATTGCAGAGAGTGCTCATCCTTCAGGACTTCATACAGTATAAGAACCTCATGCAGTTTGATTTGTCATATTGGTACTTATTCTGTAAACATTAGCATTTGCATACATTTAGAAATGTATTGTCACAACTTTCTGAACAATCACTAAATGTTTTTATAGAGTGAGATACTAGTCTTTCTTGCTACAGATGATTTGGAAAACAGGACCAACTAATTTAAAGACTAAAAAAAATGAATACAGTTCACTTTGGTTTTCATCATGTTTAAATCAGCACAGTGGCTTGAAATGTCAGCTGATGGGATTACTTCACTGCTAGTGGTATAAATATGCAGAGCTCTTTTGTCTTTCATCAGAGATACAGCATTTCAAGTAGCCTCCTTTGCATTTCTGTTAGAATGAACTGCACAGTTCATCTTACCTTGACTATAAGTCTAGCTTGTAAATTCTATTCAGGATAGCAGTATCATTTTATTTACTTATTTCATTCCTGCAGGGCACTTGCTTGGACTTTCCCACGATGACTCCAAATTCTGTGAGGAGAACTTTGGCTCCATGGAAGACAAACGCTTGATGTCCTCCATTCTCACTAGCATTGATGCTTCCAAACCCTGGTCGAAATGCACTTCAGCAACTATAACAGAATTTTTCGATGATGGTCATGGTATGTACTATCACTCCTGGGTCTGCTACATGTCTTTTTTTGCTATGAACCATTTTAGGAATATTAACATTTTATACCAGCTTTTTCATTCTGTGCTTATCTTCAGGATGATTTTGGGGATACTTAACAGAAAAAGTCAATTGTCTCAAAGACTGGCAAAGGCTTTGTGTGGTTGCATACAAAAGAAAAGAGAGAGTTGATATAGCATGTATTGGCAAAAATTTGGTTGGGAACATGGCAAGCTTTTTTAAAAGCGTGAAATTAATTGTTTTTCCAAATGCTACAGAAACAAATTCAGAAAGTACTTTAAAAAGAGGATACAAGGAAATGCTTTGGTTTCTCACTGAAGTTAAAAGGGCTGTTATGATCTGCTTAGTGTTAGCTACACATATGAGCAGAGTGTATGCATATAATTCTTACTACCATTAATGACATTTATTATTCTTATAAAGCAAGTACTAGAAGGGCCATAAGCAAGAATTAGAGTCCCCAGTGACAAAAGACTTCTTCTGTCCAGAAGCCTAGCTTCTAGGTCTTTAAAGTAATATTTGTAAAATATGTCCTTTATTCTTTGGAGAGTAAGTGCAAAACTTTCATTTTGCAAAAAGTTAATAATAAAACATAGTCTGCACTTTTAAATGATTTTTAAAGTCTTCCTTGTGCTCCCAGAGAAACTGTAGTTCTTAAACAAGCCATTCAAATTCCAAAATGCTGAGATAAAAATGACATAATTGACTGAATGGACCAAGTTGTTATGGTAACTGAAATACTTATGGATAAAAAGTATGGTATGCCAGCTGAATGTAAAGAGTTTTTTGCTTTTAAATATTTTGCTGGCTAATTTCAGTGCTCTCCAAAATATTTTCTCTTATATTCTTGTATCTGGAGAATTGCTTCATTTTTTTTCTTTCAATTTTATTAGACCCATTAATCTGTGCTGTCCTATTTTATGATCCATATTGCTCTGGCATTGACTTTAGCAACTTGGTTTCCACATGTGTAAGAGATCTGTCCTTTCTGAGCTCAATTACTTTCGTTGCCTTTAGTCTCACCTGTGAGTTTCACAGTATATGCTCTCTGGGGTGAGAATGGCACCTTAGCAGCCATCCTTCTATCACCTCTTAGAGCAAGAAACTCTAAGCCCCAGTTCCTCCTATGTTCTTCTCCTATGGGAAGGTGAAAAAGGGTTTTGTTTCCTCCCTTTTTTATGTGATCTGGCTTCTTCACTGTATTGTGCATCCAGCCAGCTACTTTCCCAAAAACAAAGAACGTGAACACAGCATCTCCGCCACCCACCTCACCTTTGGCTTGTGTGTACTGAGACATACTTGAAATTTGGGCCTTTACCCATGAACTAGTCCCTCTCTCCCCAGAAAGAGGAGCAACAGGCAAACTGACAGATCTAGAAATAGAAATTCTGCAATTTCTTTTTTTCAGTAGGAGTAAGTAACAGCTTCAAATCTTTCAGAGTCACATCATGGTCTTCTTGTTCAGAATGAATGTTGCCTTCCTGTAATTTGTTTAATAGTCTTCAGTGGCTGACACAGCTCACAAAGTCATTTATTTTAGATTGCACATAGGGAGCTTAGGATCTATAAGTTAGTTAAGAGATGGATGGGAGTACATTYTTATTTCCAGTACTGATGAGTAGCTATCCTTCAGGCACATAGCCTAGTAATTTTTCCAACATGATGAAAAAATTCTTGGAAAAATTGAGCCTTTAGTCTTATCTGGAAATCATTTTTATTATTGAGTCTATTGGTGTAACACCAGGAAGATAATGTTTAGGGAATGTGTTTTCTTGATAGGTCAGGCCTTCAGAAACCTGTTTTCAAAGCAGAAGTCTTATTTTTATGTGAAGTTTATTTTTTTCTGTAGCTATTTAAGTTAAAGATTTGTCTTAACAGAACATAAACATTCTCTATGAAACCAAACAAATATGAAAGTCACTGTTTTAAAAAGTAGTTTCCCATCTTATAAATCTAGAAAGTAATGTTAGAAAGGGGATTCATCTTGTTAAACATGGATATTTACTATGTAGATAGCTACACGTCAACTGGGTATTTAAATTTCCATTACAGTGAGGAGTTGTCTTATCAACGGCGTCAATGGTATGTTTTTTCTTACCAGTTGCATCAGTGGCGCTGAATTACACTATACACTGCTTGTACTGACCAGTGAAGACTCTGAGAGTTGATTGAACTGCAGACATTGGCATTACATGCCGCTAAAGTGAGATAAAAAATTCCCAATGTAAATGTTTTGTGCAGGTCTGGGGAAGATCAGGGTGCTGATTCTCTGTCCTCTGTAGCCCAGTCTGAGAACTATAATCATTATTACCATGATTTCACCGTGAGATTACAGTCATGTATTAACCTCACTCAGCAGTTTGACATTTAGGAAGAAAAAGTTCAGTTAGTGTCCAGAAGGCGGGTGACATTTATTTTCATTCACTTTTAGCCTGCTCTTCCCTAAGGTACTAATTGCCTTTATTATCATATCAGCTTCTAGCCTGTGATGTGATTTCTTGCAATTTATTGTGTTTAGTCAGTGTGCTTAGTGCTCTATGTATTCTGAAAAATAAGCCTGTTCCTATTTTAATTAATTTATGACCTGCTTATCTGCTTCCTGCACATACTTTATTCTGCCTGTTCTTCCAGGGCATATTGCCCATAACACTGAGGAGAGACAATGAGGTGGCACCATTACCACCATCATTAGGCAAGAATGTTGCTCTTTTCCAGGGTGCACAGATATTCCTTGGAACTCAGGACCAATAGTAGGAATAGTAGTATATACCTGTTCTATGTACTGTAGTGAAGTGAAGTCCTTTCTGTCCCCTTAACCAGGCAGCTAAGGGCAAACCWTCTCCAGCTCTTACCTCCAATGTTTTCTGACCGTTGCAAAGTAGGAGGTTAGACGAGGTGGTGGTAGAAACACCTGCACTTCACTGGAACTTGTCTAAACAGAGATTACTACTGTTGCTGTATATAAATGCAAAGACAGGGTTTTTTGCAGTGGGTAAGCCTTCGGGGCCTTTCCTATCTTCAGTTTCAAATTTATCATGTGAGATGAGCTGGAATGTATGGCTTTGTAGTGTGTGTGTTTCCTCAGAGCAGTATCTGTTAAGAGCAGTATCAGTTAAGGGGAACTTTGAAACTCACTCCCCTTCTGTTTGAGGTGGGGGAAATAATACTGTATTTGCAACATATGGTTCTGAAACTTGTTTACTATTTAGGTATGAAAATTATCTATATGAGTGTTAACTAATGCCTGAAAATTCAAGTATATACAAGAATGTGATTTTTCTTCTAATTCTTTATATTCAGATTTTCCATCATGTCAGTTAGGGTGGATCATAGTGATTCAAAATACTGAATAGTGGTTCCACTGTGGGAATTTGATAAGCACTGCACTATTTACTAGAAGTGTGTACCTCCAAAGGTTGGCTTGGTCATCTTGTCATTGACCCACCACTAGTGCAGCTTATTCCTTCATACAAAGTTCACGAAGTAGAAGAGTATAATCTGTTCTCTATTTTCATAAGATGTATTTTTGACAGAAACTGTTGCCAATGATTTCCTCCTTAGAAATCCAGGCAACCTACTTTATAGAAAACATCTGTGCTTCCTCACTTTTCACCATATTTTTGTAATGTTTTGCACTATAAAGAGCTTTGAACAGTAGGGTACTTTTAATTATCTTTATCTCATTGCAGTCATCTCACCAGTTAGCATTGGCACACCTTGTCTTCATTAAAAAGTCAGCATAATACAGATTAAAGATAAAAGCAGGGTAAATCAAGGTCAGCAAAGGACAGATGAAACAACAAGTTTAACAAGGTAGAGGGTTTTCAGTAGGGAGTGATGATTCAGAAAGGATTTTTGGCTGAATATGGCTAATTGGCCTTCATCTTTAGAGGGAAAAAAAAAAGAATAATCACAGTAAATGTGTATTCTGGAGGGAAAACACAAACCATTGTTTGAGTGATGGGACTATATCTTGGACCTACGGTGAGATTTTTACAGTGAGCCTTTTTTGCCCGTGATCCAACTGAAGAATACTGGTGTGAGTTGCAAAGTGTGATAAGTTGTGGTAAATTATTTTGGTCAAGGATAAGGGAAGCTTGCCCAGACCACATAACCCTTTCCTGGGATGTAAAAGAGGTTATGCTGAATAAATAATATTGTATGACAACAAGTAAGATTTTCAGTAGTGAGGGAAAAAAAATCAGTAGATTTTTTTCAAGAATCAGAATGTGAATTCCCATTCTTAGAATTTGTAGCAAACAAATTGTAACTTCTGCATAATTATTCWGCATTATTTTCTGGGTTTTATGTATATAATTTTTATTGCTTTTTTTTTTTCTGTTTTAAATGCAATGTGTAGCACTCTTCAAAACAACTCTGAAGTATCCTTCCTTACAAGGGAAACTCAGTGGAGATTTACCACAAGCATTAACTTTGATATGCAGCTTTTATTTTCCATTTGATCCATTTTTTTTCTTCCTATTTTGTAAGGGCCTCATTGGCTACAAGTCTTTTGGATTGTTTTTTTTTTGTGTGTGTGTGTGATTTTTTTTCTGGCTTCCCAGAAGCTTTACCATTTCAAAAGTGCTGGCTCAAAATTCACAAGAAGGCTTTGCTTACTTTGCCACGCATCCTGATCATTCCTTAAATGACAAATTGATAAATAGGCTGGAGTATGTTCAGAGTCAATTTGAATAAAGGAAACAGAGTGGAAGGCTGAGTGAATGTCAGTAAAATTCATTTCCAGCCTTGGACTGGAAATAAATAGACAGCTTGACACCTGGGACATTGCTGAGAGGACAGAGTTGCAACCATGCGACCTTGTCCAGAGTCTGATGATACCTCTGGGAGTCATTCCGGGGGCGTCACAGCATCCTCCGAATGAGGTTCACAGCTATTACCAGCCTGCCTAACTCAAATAACAAATTTACAGTACTGCAGAGAAACTTAGGGCAGTGAGTAATAACATGTTGGGTTGCTCTTCCAGGCAACTGCTTGTTGGACCAACCAAGAAAGCAGATCCTGGGCCCTGAGGAGCTCCCAGGACAGACTTACGATGCCATTCGCCAGTGCAAGCTGGCCTTCGGAGATGAGTACACAGTGTGTCCCGGCATGGACGTGTGCTCTCGCCTCTGGTGTGCCGTGGTCCGCCAGGGCCAGATGGTCTGTCTGACTAAGAAGCTACCTGCCGTGGAGGGGACGCCCTGTGGGAAAGGGAGGATCTGCCTCCAGGGAAAATGCGTTGACAAAACCAAGAAAAAATATTACTCGGTAAGTCATCGGCTGTGATCCTGGGGAATTTCAGAAGGCAAAATCCTGAAAGGTGATGATTTCCATGGGAGTGGAAGGATTTTGACGATGTTGGTCCAAAGAGTTGCTTTATTTTTTAACGCATAGTTGGCATTTTATTAGTGAGGGATATAGGAAAAATGTTGCTGAAATCAAGGATGATTTCTTTTTCTTGAGGTATGAAAACCTTCATTCCTGGCAAACTGAGAGGAGGATTTACCCATTCGGGTTCTCCTACAAAACAGGAGAACAGTTCAAATCAATTTGTAGCATCTTTAGTTTTAGAAGATAGCCTTTTTTTCATGTAACACTTGTAAATTGGTGCACTGTTCTATTTAGGGAGCCAAATTAACAGAGTTGCAAATTGTATCTGATAGCTCTATCTCTTGCCCCAGTATTCCTGGAACATCACGCTCTTGGTTCAGTAGCAACTTTGACTTCAGTCTTCTTGTCAGACTTTTTCATGTTACACCTTCATTTCTTAAATTCAATCTTTCGCATTTACAGAAGAGAAAAATAGAGGCAATCATTGGATGATCGCCAGTGTAATTTGGGTAGATGATTGACTTGGTGAAACTGTGGATATTGACTCATATTTGTATGTAGCGTATGTGTGAAGTAGGCCTTTGGAAACAAAACTCGTTAACATAAGATATTGAACACTGTTCCTCAGAATGGAGRTTCAGGTATAGTTATAAATCCTTGCATAAATTGATGATATTGTGATTAGGTCTCATAATGCAGAACAATCACAGAATCCCTGCCAGCTAGTTTAAATGGGCCTTTGRTGGAAGAACAAAAAAATGATAAGGCATATATGAGAGTATAGTTAGTATTTCTAGTAAGATGTGTGCATTTTGGGAAATACGCTGAAGCTGGCTGTGCAGAATGAAGCATGGTATTGCCATAGCCTTGTCTGCACAGAGCTATGTGAGATGTCATCAATACACAGAAAAAAGTCTCCTCAGATGAAGCTGCTTTTTATCCCTGATGAGAAGAGTTTTCCCCAGTTGAAGAAAGCATGTCTTTGAGATTTATTTATTCTTATTCACATTAACTTTTAGATGATGCTCTTACTTCCCACTGCCTCATTTGTTTCAGGCTTCCAACCATGGTAACTGGGGGTCCTGGGGACCTTGGGGACAGTGTTCCCGCACCTGTGGTGGAGGAGTTCAGTTTGCTTATCGTCACTGCAACAACCCAGCTCCCAGAAACAACGGCAGGTACTGCACTGGCAAGAGGGCCATCTATCGCTCCTGCAATGTCACACCTTGCCCAGCAAATGGTATGTTGCATAGCTGCCAAAGTACCTCTGTGCTCCAGTCTGTGTGTGTCTAGACAAAAAAAATGTGAATGTTACTGAGTTCAGTATAGTTTTTCCAACACATAATAAGAATTACTTACCACAGCAAGATGTTCAATATTAATACAATACCGTAATTCTTCCCCAAGCCCAACCTAGACCCCAAACAAAAAGGATGGATATGCCAATGAAAACAAACTTCACACACTTGAAAAAGGAACAGTAAGGCACACTGCAATCATTTAATTCTTACTATGTCTAGGGAAGATTCCCAAGTTTAAATAGTTAAATGATTCAAAGGACTGCTAGGAAGCAAAGTGAAGAAATGATATGACTTAAAAGTTACRGTAAAGCAAATCAAAAAATGGAATAATAGATGGACATAATGATATTCGCAGCATGTTCTGAAATGATCACTAATGATACAAATAATTCTACAGCTAAATCTTTCCGACAAGAGCAGTGTGAAGCAAGGAATGGCTATCAATCTGATGCAAAGGGTGTGAAAACATTTGTTGAATGGGTACCCAAGTATGCTGGAGTACTTCCTGGAGATGTTTGCAAGCTCACCTGCCGAGCCAAAGGAACTGGCTATTATGTGGTATTTTCTCAAAAGGTAATGGGATCTTCAGTTATGATTTCAGATTTCAATTTAGAAGTGTCCTATGCCTTTGAAAGCTTTCCAGGTATATACTATACATAACTGTATACTACGTTGCATATAGCTTTACATAGCTATATACTAAGTTGTACATAGCTTTAATTTAATTTAATCATACAACCCAAAGACTTAACAGTATATATACAGATAKCAAACCAGATATACTGTTTTGATCCACTGGTTAAAATTAGGACCAGAACTGGCCTCTAAATTAGGTATGTTTTTCCACATCTAAATTTATGAATTCATAATAATATGTGGTTATTAGTGTACTCTGCATTAAATTTCCTGGAGTGGGTAAATGAAAGGATTTCTGCCTGGAGAGTCATTTGCGACTCTAGGGTTTTATAGAGRAGGGAGAATAATTTAAAGAATAAATGTTACCCTGAACTGTGTTATGGGAATCTAGAGTAACTCATGTGAAGACAATTAATTTATGTGGTCAGTTTATGTTATACGAGATGCAACTCAAACTGAAATGGCTCCCACACTTACTCTTGCAGTTTTCTTCCTCTAAATGTTATGAGGATGTGGTAACTGATATGTGAACTGAAATGTTCAAATGAAAGGCTGTCTACAGTTTTTACTATTATTTATAAGTTATGAAATCTTCTTTAAAATCAGACCTTAGTGTCTTGTGGTAGAATTGTCTGTCATTGCTTTCCGCCATTCCACTAAATTTAGGCTGCTTCTGTGCTAGAAGTGTTATAGCAACTTAGTCTGGCTGCCAAGCTCTGTGCTGGTATTCATCTGGCTAAACACCAAGTAAGCACAAATTCATTAAATGAATTTGTACCTCCACCATTTTAGAAATGCTCTGTTGTATTTGTTCGGATCGTATAGCATATTTTTAAATGACTTCTAGGCTTTGATATGGATGATACAAATATTTGCTAAACAGACTCACAAAAGCAAATCTTTTCCATGGCAGTTTTAACTAACAGTCACCTGATTCCCTAGGTAACAGATGGAACTGAATGCAGGCCATACAGTAACTCAGTCTGTGTCCGGGGAAAATGCATCCGAACTGGCTGTGACGGCATCATTGGTTCAAAGCTCCAGTATGATAAGTGCGGTATTTGCGGAGGAGACAATTCCAGCTGCACAAAAGTCATGGGAACATTTACCAAAAAGAGGTATCAATCTTGAGTATTAGTACATGTATGTTACTGAGCAATTAGTAACTCATCTCGTGTGACTTCTTTCTGTCTCTAATTATCTGAAGTCAAGAAAGGCAGTCGAAACAAACTACTTTACCTGTGCCTTACTGCACTTTCTAGATCTGTAAATTTGGCCTCCTAACAACACCCTGTCACTGGCAAATAATCACATGACAAAATGCTGTACCGAGTTCATTTCTGACAAATGGTACCAGTGTTACAAGTGAGCACCCAATGACAGGA